AACGAATTATCAGTGAACATATTGAAACTGTTTGAGAGAGATAGAGAAACGCAGTCTTATAGTTAGAGGCTTCAAACTTCACTTCAAATTCTGAATGAACTACCGAACTTGGAGGAGTTATATCTAACGTTTGAGTGAGGTTACTCCATAAGGAATCTCTTATTTGACATTACCGTTTTTCAGATGAAAGCTGCACCTCATTTGTTTGTGAAGTTGCTGAATAAAGAATTTGTCGAAACTAAGCCTCTTTTGAATATCTCTTAAATTGAGATATTCTTGTGTTTATCTCTTTAATGAGATCAAACTTTGTCAAAGATTTTATCATTTTATGCTGGCTTTTCGTGCTAGTCGCGACAGAGTTTGAGTTGGATTAATAACTTGAATATGATTTATTTATGTTATATCTACGTGTTTAAAAATATGAGAAGTTACAAAGAAGACAGTGAATAACAAATCGTTCAAAAATTTTATTAGCATTATATGCTCATTCATAAGGTAACCTTCATATCTGACATTACATAACCTTCTTCAATTCAGTGTTTTGATGTTATTGACACACGACTAACAAACGGATTTCATTGATTGAATCAGCACAATCCATGCGCAACAACGGATCAAATGAAACAATCAACATCCAATCGTGCCAGACGCAACTGATAACAGACGGTATCATCATTAATACCATATCGAACATGTCACAAATAACACAAAACCATTTCTTTCGGTAGCTTGGCTACAAACCGGCGGAACAAATTTTTTGAAAACTTGAAAAATTTTTAAGAAGTAAGAAAGAGAGCAAGTGTGTTTTCCCTAGACAACATTTTTGTTTTCTCATGAAATATACAACAAAATGTAAACTGAAGCACTGAAAAAAGAACGTAAATAAGATTCTCTGTACAAACAAACACAACAGGAACAAACAAACAACAAACAAACAAAAAACAACCGTATTCGATATTATCTGATCAGAAAATCGATCACGAGAGCAATAGACAAAATTGCAACGCACGAAATGACGTTCTTGAGAACACAACGAATGATTATTGAATGAAGCACAAAAGCGAACACAAAACACGACAAATAAAGTGAAACAAGAAGATGTACTAAGAAAAAATAAGAGTATGAACAACAATACATCAGATGATTTCGTCTCAAATTATCTGATTGTGAATATGCAATTCATGGTGTCTAAATATACAGAACTATAAGTGTGGTGGCGGTGTCCATTTCAATATTCCTGATTTCGTAAGAGCATATCCCTTGTATCATCGCATCAATATCCTAATCTCGTGCTTTTTTAGATAACTCTAATCATTTGAATATTCAATCAGTTTCTCTAAACTGTGAGGATTCGATTACCTCAAAGCTTCATTTTGACATTGCTACAAGGAGAAATCTGCCGAAAGGCTCGATGAGAAAATTAATTCTGTTAGTGTTGTAGTCAGAACCTCATAGTTTTAGACCATCCACCCAGATAAAAGATTTTCAAGCTGTAACGCTGAGAACTCAACAAACGACATCAAAAAGTGATAAGACAATAAGAATGACAAGGAGAAAGCGTCGAAAATGAAATCTTAGAAAGGAACCAAGCAAGCAACACTAACACAGTAACGATGTCATCAGCTAATTTAGCTTACAACAATCGAATTTATTCCATTAGATGAATGATTGGAATTTCATGGAAACGATTAGATTGATACATTTCGAATGAATCGAACAAACGATATTATACAATTCGTGAATTTTTAGCACATTCAGTTGATTTTTTTTGCAATAAACCAACAACAGTTAAGATGTAAGAAATTGTAGCGCTGTAGTGTACGGAAATATTGGTGGAAAGTGGAAATTGTATGGACTCATAACAGGATACGGAGCGCTTATTGGCGGTATTAACCGTAGATCGAGTTGCTCGATAGCTGACGGCGCTGTGATGGTTGATGCAATTGTGACTGGTGGTGCTGGTACCGGTGGTGGAAGTAACCTGAAATTAAACTGTTTATGGACGGATCGAATGTTATCAGAACTATCATCAGAGAGGATGAAACTTATTAAGAGATTGGTCAATATTCCTTGTATCATCGCATCAATATCCTAATCTATTGCTTTTTTTAAAGATAACTCCTATTATTTGAATATTCAATCAGTTTCTCTTCTATTATGAGGAAGCGATTACCTCAAAGCTTCATTTTGGCATTGCTACAAGGGAAATCTGCCGAAAATCTGCACTCGATGAGAAAATTAATTTTGTTAATGTTATAGTCAAAATCTCACAGTTCTTCACCATCCACCCCACCCACATAAAAGATTTTCAAGCTGTAACGCTGAGAACTGAACAAACGACATTAAATTGTGACTTATTCTGTCATTAATCTATCGATGAAGATGAAAGCAGTGAGATGATGTGTTGATAATGCGGGATATGAAATTACGAAGATAAATAATTTTGAGTAGATCATTCCGAATAATTACGAAAACAAATCAATGAATTATTGGTGATCAACTAGGCAAATCATATTCCTTCTCGAGAACATTATGGTTTATCTTACGAAGTAGCAATTCTACATTTCATGGAGTTTCCCCAGCTCTTTAGTTACCCTTCCCGATGTGGATGGTCACCTTCGAGCCGAAGATGAACTCTATACATAGAGAATAGTTCAAAGTAACAGCTAGGTGCGACGGCAAACAGCTAATACATCTATATCTATATCGCAATACTATTGGATTAGAAAACAATACGCGCATTACGATAGGAGCAAGCAAGATAAAGGATGATTAATCAGTCGTTCAGCCTATTGGAAGAAGAAGGAAGGACGCACGATTGAAGTTGTTTATCTGCACTGAATCAGGCAATATTTTGAATGTGTAGAAGAAGGGAGCGAGAGAGCACAACACGGAGTGCATGTGAATGTGCATGAGAATGTGCATGGTTATGAAAAGAATGATTGATGTGTTGACGACGCATGCATGAGACTGAAACGAGTCGGCGACCGGCTGCAATCAGCGCGAAGTGGTCACCATTGTTCAATACCGTATACCAAACGAGCACAACCAAAAGAACACCATCTAATTTGCAAATCACCTTGTAACTGTGAAAACACCACAGCTAAGACTGCTATATTAGCACTCGTCTTGTAATCGCGAGACCGCTAAGGCTACGTCAAATTTTCATTTTAAGCAATCACAAATATCGTAAGCGCAACCGACGGACACTACCACTCAAACTACTGCTTAACATGACGCACTGTGCAAACATTGGTAAATACAGAACAAAATATGACACAAAAAGTTATCAAATTCAGTGCTCTTAATGTCCTGAATGCGGACATGTGATAAACTGCGATCTTGTGATTTTCTAATATTGGATAATGATAATGTGATGGAATAAAAAGGTGATAATTTTAGACGACATAATTGAAAAATTGATGAAAGTTGGCGTTTCCTGGTAAAGCCTAGCCTATCGATAGTGAAATGAACAGATAAGAAGAGACAGAAAGGGAATCAATTCAAAGAATTATTTCAAGTGCATTATTAATAACAACTGCAGATTATCGCATATCAACTAAGACAGATTGTCTACCTAGTTCAGAAGCATTGAGGAGGAAACATACTAGTACTTTTGCGATTCAAGGAACAGAATCCGCCACTTACATTGACGAAGATGCAGCCAGGACAGGCGAATGTTGCAAAAGTAACGGCGTGAAAGGTGCAGTGCAGTCCGGTTTGACCGGTACTGGCATAAGCGGAGGTACACGTAACGGTTCGGATAGCTTCTCTTTTTCCGGTGAGACCAACGTTGTCATACCAACATCTTCTAAAAAGATACTCACCAATTATCTTTCAATTTTCAAACTCTTAAAGTCAGGGAATTTCAAAATATTTCATGCATTCAAAATTTTCAAATCAAATGACTGGATTTTGAACGGATATGGATTTGAATTCAGCACTGAACCACTGAAAGGAATGGACAATGAAGGAGTATGCACGTGTCCACCGTTCTACTGGCGTGAACAGCCTGATTGAACAGTTTTTCATGAGTGGAAGTTTCAAAAGGACGAATTAAAAGCAGGGTTTCGAAGCATGCAAAAATCAAGCTGAACTCATACCTTTAGCCGCTTCATTCATATTGATTGGTGATATTTGTGACTGAAAATTTGCTGAGGTTGTATTGACGAGCAATTGAGCTTTACGCTGTTTTTGCTGATCTCGTCTCAATTTGATCTGTCGTGCCATTAGAGTTCGACGATTCTCAACTAATCCACACTGAAACGAAATTTGGAATCTTTATTCCAGTAGTTTCAAGCCAACTCTGGATACAACGCTAAACATTTAGTTACCAGATTTGCTGTTCCTAGTCAACATAAACATATTCGCTTCGGACTGATCGACTAAGCTTCAATCTTATGGATACCCAATAATTCAAGGATACTCAAGAAAGACTTGAATGATAGATGTGTTCCCAGCTAGATTCCTTGATCTTGATCAGGATTCCTTGATCAAAACATTTATTAGGGTAGTCTGTCATCTAAGCTTGATCGCACTGCTTTTGATGGAATCCAATTACATTAAATCTATTTCACGTATGCTCTGTGTGCACTTGACAGTTATTACAATCAGTTTCATGAGCCCACTATAGAAATACGCACGAAAATGCCTAGTGTACAGCCTAAAATTGATGAGCACATACCAAATGACATCCACACTTCAGGAAAGGACATTGCGCCTTCTTGTGACCACGTAATGGTTGTTTCTCACCGTGAGCCGAGCACAGAGCACACTTCGGATCACGAACCTTCTTGCCCACGGTCTTTTCGTCACCGCTATCAGTCTCGAAGCGTCGTCGACTGAGCATATTGTTCAAACGACGACGCTCTTCGACCATTCGGCAATCGGCACATTCACACGTGGCATATCTGAATTGATTTTTATCAGTGGAAAGCATCTGCCAGCCAGCTAGATTGATTCTGTTCGTTGATTCGCCACCACTCGATCGCATTTTCTATCGCTCTGTTTAAATTTTATGACTTATTCGCAACGTTATTCATTGCTATGTAATACTCTCTCGTTACTATCCCCTCATACTTGGATATTCAACTCACTTAAGCCTATGAATTCTATCACTCATGCATCGATCGATGCCACTTGTTCCAAACCGCTCATGAAACTTGATGTTACTTGATCAGTCTTGCTCCCTGAATTTAGACAGGCTGCGAACAAGATCCAGCATTTTGATACTGGAATCTTTAAGTGCTATTGGAACGATCATTCGTTGAACATTCGAATTTGTATTCAGTTGGTCTGCAATTTTATGCCGAAGAGAAACAACTATTGATGTGTTGTAGTATGGTGAACAAGAAGATCTAGAGAAATAATAAACGCGCGTTGTTCCAGTTGAAAATCGCATAAATTTTATGAGTGGTTGTTGAAAAGGTCATACGAGAATTAATTGTTTTGTGATTGGTCTTTGTATTTCTCGTCAGTTTCATCTCACGAACACCATAAATCATTTTTATTCCGGAATCGTTGCAAAACCTTCGAAACTTTTTTCCACTTTATTTGCACTTTATTGTGGTGTGCATATGACTGAATGATCGTAAGGAGCCAATTACATGAATGCAGCAGGGAGGTAGGGCATTAACCCGTTGGGGCATTAACTTACCGCAACAGACAAAGCACAACAACAATATTTGCATTGCACGCTGTTCGTTCTTAACCGTAATCTTCTCGTTTCATTGCATTATTAAGANTGCTGCTGTTATAAAGACGTGAATTGTGAATAGGGAATCAATCAATCAATCAAATGATTTAGATGAAGTGTCTCATACGAATGTGATAACATTATTTGATTTACATATATGCATGCTTGTTTCGATATGGTGCGAATCAGCAAAATGAATATAAGAAACAGATATTTATCGATGTGTGTAATTGAAGGAGCGATGAGAATGACAACGAAGGCGTTTCTTCGGCTCGGTCGATTATCTCAGTTATTTCTTCTTTTTTTTTTTGATGTGATGGCGATGATCAGATGAAAACGATTGAGAAACGATCGTGAAAGTAATGATGGCTTTATGATTCTGATGACGAGATAGGGCGGCGAAGATGGATGCAAGAGTGAACAGAATGAAGAATGAGGAAAGTTTTATAGATCACGATAAAAATAGGAAAGAAGATGAGGAGACAATATGCAACAACGCTCTAAAAAGAGGTTCTTGAGATGTTGCTGTAAAAAGGAAGAGAAAAGGAAATTGATACAAAACGAGATGTTGCTATATGTGAAGCTTACAGAAAGAATTCATTCATTCATTCGTCTTTGATAAACGTCTTTAAGATGTTGATGAGGCAGATAGATAGATAGATACTATCCAATTGAACAAAGAGAAAGCAGCAATAATTTAAAACATCAACACAGCACATTAACCAGCAATCAGTATGCCAAAAAAAACACCAACGATTCAATGGATGGGATAACCATAACCCTAACCATGGACCACCTAACTGATAGACCACCCAGTGGCGCCGCCGTAAATAGCGCTGATCGGAACGGAATGCGTCGGTGAGTTTGTCAGTCGGAAAGATGCAAGGCAAACGATACCAGAAAAAGCGTCATCTTATCGCTCGCTTTGTTCATAAAGAAAAATGAATTGTTTTGAAAGATGAATCAATTTCGTTCAGTCGTCTAACCAACCGTACGATGATTGCCTCATGAATACTCATCAGACAGTTTCTGAAGAAATAACGATTGAGATGAAGAAATGATCAAGGAAAGTTCTAAGACCTACATGACTGTTGCTGGTAGGGCAATAATGAATCGTTACGAGAATAATCGAGGGAATGGATGAAAGAAAAGTAAGTGCAAGAAAGCAGTTGAGAAGGAGAACATAAACGAGAATAAATGTCTTTTAAATTTATTCATTTATTTATCGTTCACTGTATCATTTGATGCATTATCATTTGCATTCAGCNCAGCCATCTGATTCGATTATGACGACAATACAGCAGTAATATGAACTAGAGAAGAGCGAGCATTTCATCATATCACATTATGTCATTTTATATGATGGCCAATAAAAAGCGCTATAAAAATACCATCCGATGGTGTTCTCAATATGTCGGTTACGTTTATTATGCAACTTTTTAATGTTGCCAATTGCCAGTTGCAATGGTACACAATTGTGTTTTGTGTTAGAGCGTTTCATTGCAAAATAAATTTTAACTTCGTTGACTTGGGAAGCTTAAAATTAGTATGACTTAGAATTATAAAACATTGCTTAGACTCTGAAGTAAGTGCTCTGCAAAAGAGAGGTCTTAAACGTCCAAATGAACAAGATAAGATGATGGCTCGGTTGGATGAGAGTGATGAAGGAAACAAATGATATCAGAACTTTTAGGATGAGAAGATGGAATAATCGAAATGAAGAAAGACATTGTTTCGTACCATATGGTGCACATCATATGGTACTTCATGGTACCTGAGAGGAACAGCAGGTTCCAGGTAGCATAGTTCAGACTCATTTGCATAACGTTCGAAACGTATCAGCAAAGCGATTGTCATTCAAAATACATGTTTTTAAAGGAGATCTTCATATTCGTAATGAACAATTGAAGAATAGAAAATAATTTTAGTTATGTGAAGTTACTCTGCANTATCGTTTCTGGTCATCCTCTGAAGAAGACGTGCTTTCCACTGGTCGGGGAGTACAAGCCACGACGTCAACTTCGGGTGAACTGCACGACGAACAACCAGAAGCCGTCTCTTCACCACGACAACTGGTTGGTGAGAAATCTGTAAAGCGCGCATTCTGTTGATTGCAAAACCATTAAATACTCATTTGAAAGGAAATTCTCGTGGTCTACTTTCTCCCACACTGACATTTAGCTTAGCATATGCTACGTACAAGAAAATTTCATCAGTTCGTTGAAGTTTGTTTATCATCCTTTATGGAATGCCTAAGAAATATGGCATTTCGCGGATTAGAATTTATACTATGAATTTGCTTACTCATCTTATTCAATTGTGAGTCATCTGAGTGGTGTGAAATGTGTAGCAAAACACCTAAGTAACGACAATTTCAATGAAAACGAGAGAAACAATGTGGATTCGAAGGAAATTTTCGAACTTCAGCTGACTAACGACGATGAATGAAACGGAAAGAAACCTTCGCTACTGACATTATCATTGGTCGACTCAGTTAGAG